TGCGGATGGCATTGGCAGCTGTTTGTTCGATTCCTTTTCATGCTTCCGAAGAGAATATATACGCACATCTCCTTTGGAATGTCCCCATTATCAGCGTGTGGGAAATCAAACTCAAACATCAATCAAGTGGCTTCTCTGCTGACATGACACGGAATGACAAATGTGACGGGCAATCCGCAGAGCTGTTGGGTAGTCCCGGCCTGTGCAAGGGGCTGGCAGTGACGACCCCCGACACGCACACGCGCACCGCAAAGCCGGCGCCCCATTCAACACCGCGGTTCTGGGGTCCTCGGCCTCATGCGGGACTTTCGCATGACAGGAGTTAGTATCAGTATGCTGGGAATTGCTTTAATAACTGTCACTTTACTCTTCTATAGAATGTCATTGTTTATAAAACTCCTAATTCTGCCCTGGCTGGTGTGGCTCAGTGGATTGAGCGCCGTCCTGAGAAGCCAGGGGTCGCTGATTCAATTCCTAGTCAGGGCACAGGCCTGGGTTGCAGGCCAGGTCCCCAATAGGGGGCGCGCAAGAGGCAACCACACATTGATGCTTCCCTTTCTTCCCCTCTCCAAAATAAGTAAAGAAACCCTCTTTTAAAAATCATAATTTTATTTAAAAAACCATCTATTATGTTCATTGTGTGCCAGAAACTGTGTGAAACATTCCTTATCATATTATTCTGCTTTACAGATACAAACAAACGAAAGCCAGGAGACGTTAGCATCACCCAGCCGGTCAGTGACAGGAAAGGGCCTCGGGCTGCAGGCCTCTCTGACGTCACGGGTCCACTCTAAACGCTAAACTACCTCCGCCTCCTTACATTCAAGTTTCTACTGTGTGCCTTCACGTATTATAATGTGCTGTCATTGTACCCATTGTCCGGGTCCAAGACTTTATTTATCCTAGACGTAAATATTCAACACAGATTAACTGAAAGGCAAAAATATGGCTAGAATGGTAAGAACAGGTTGGCTATTCTTTATTAGGAAAAAAAAGTCAGCCCGTTGAATTTATCATTTAGGAAATAGTGGTTTCAAAACTGTGCGCCTCACCGTAGGCCCCAGGGATGAGCTACTCACAGCAGCTGAGTGCAAGGCGGGCACCAGCCTCCCAGGCAGCTAACCCTCAAGAGAAAGCACGCGTCGGGTTACCGTGGGCACCGTCAAAGGAAGAGAGACAGTCGCCCAAGTGGGAGCGATGAGCTGCTGGTGCTGAATCCCAAGAGGAGGCGTCCTCTGGAATTTAAAAAAACATGGGAAGAAATTTGAGCAATAGCTTTGCAAATCGCATAGACAATTCAGATAGATGTTGTTTTGCTTTTCTTTTTTACATCAGTCTTTTTCAAAAGAATAACAGACCTAACAAAAATAAACCAACCGGGTGAACTTTTTGTAGGAGATAAGGGTTCTAACAGAGAGGCAGAACAGGTTGGAAATGATATAGATATGATATGGATGGATATGGACATAGGAACAGATACAGATACAGGCATTGGTATGCTCACTGTCACCATAGATCTGCAGGTGCGTAGAGATGTATCGATACCTCTGTGTCTGTATCTATATCAACCCACCTACAGAGAGAAAAGGGTTGATTGCCAGGAATTGGCTTCTGTGATTGTGGGGTGGCTAGGCAAGGCATGAATCCTCAGGACAGGCCACCAGGACGGGTGCCTGGGACTCTCAGGCGCAGCCTGAAGCTGCCGTCCAACCGCGAACTGTTTTCCATGGGGAAGCCTTGGTTCTGCTCTTAAAACCGTTCAGCGGAGCGGATCAGGCCCATGCAGATGAAGCAGGATTTTCCCTCTTCCTCGCAGTAAGCTGATTATAGACCTGACAGACCCACAGAACACCTTCAGGGAGACACCTAGATTAGCATCTGATTAAATAACTCGGGGCTGTCGGCTAGCCAGGCTGGCACACCACGCTAACTCACTCCGCTGGAGCGAAGATAGCACTGTGTCTACGTAATGCTTTCTGATCTACCCCAATATGGGGGCAGAGCTCAGAGAACCAATAGCATAAGCACATATACTTTTAACATTTCTAAAAGGCTTTAAAAAAATTTAAAGTTGTAAGGAAATGGTGGCCTTTGTGAGACCTATCTCAAGAGGAAATATCCAGCAGACGTTCATTATCGAAAAGTTCATGATCAAATAATGGGAACGTGCTTTTCCACTCAGTGCGGAGTTGCTCCTGAGACATCCAGGGCATTGGGCAGCGGGGGCCACGGGAGCTGAGAGCAGCCCCCAGGCACTAGGCAGCCCCTCCACCGCCCCTGAGGCCAGGCCGCACGCAAAGGGGGCCTGAAACGCTGGAGCCGGATCTGCGTCTCTTCACGCTGCTTCTGCAGAAACATCTGCGCCGTCGGGGGCACCTACAGACGGCCCGAAACAGGATCTCCGGGCGTTCAGGGACCCGTATGCCCGAGTCCCTGGCCTCCTCTGATCGCCACGCCCTCAGCATCTCCGTTCATTTTCCATGATGCTTTTAAGCCCAAAGAAATGCTGAGTTCTGTTTAAAAATATTTTGACCCAAATAACAAAAGAACAAATGTCTTAATAACTTAATCGTCATTTGGGGAAAATCGTTCATATAAATTGAAAAATATTTTTTTTATTTCATTTGGGAATAACTACATATCCTCTTCCACAGAGAGGTTCACATGGTGGCTGTCATTTGGTTTGTTGTTCTCAGTGGGGCACTGACCGCAGTAACCTCGGCTTGACAAACCTGTGACGTCGTCAGGGGGCGGGAAGCAGAGAGCACGCTGCCTTGAGCCGGCAGTTCCCTCAGGACCTAGCAGGTGCTGAGTACCGCCGTGCACCCCTCAAAAACATAACCTGTCCCACCGCACCCTGGGGGCTTGTGGTACCCCAGGGTGCCATGGTACACCGTTTGGGAACTGAAGGCCGAAGCATCTGATCTGCACGAGCTAAACTTAGTTGACAACCGTGAGGTCTGCATGATGTAATTAAGAACCTGACCGTTTCCAAGATCTGATCAGACTCTCTAGATGTCTCCTCACTTTGTGTGAGGCAGATTGGAGTTAAGGAAAGAAGCGCGCTGCTTGATGTCACCGAATTTAAGTTACCTTCTCGAAATAGAAGCAAATTAACAAACACTTCCATGTGAAATTGTCACAGCCTATTTTTGCTGCTTTTACTTGTCTTTTGCCATATTGCAGTCGTGGGGATTAACTCTTATGTGCTCTTTCCTTTCTGTTTTTTGTTTGTTGTTTGATTTCGAATCTCCGTTCTCTGTCGTTCCCGTGAGAAAGGGACGTTCGTGTCTTTGCGTCGGGGCAGGCCTGTTCCCTCTGCCAAACGGACCAACCTCCGGGGCGGCGCTCTGCCGTGAGGCTGGCTTCACGTCTCATCCACTGGCTCGCAGGACGTGAAGTGTTTCCACCTCCCGGTCAGAACAAGACAGCCTCGTTTTTTTGTTGTTTTTTTTTTTCAGGATAGCACGTAAGAACAGTCTGATGGGTCTCAGGCAAACTCAAAGATAAGCAAATAGATTTAAAAAGAAAAAAAAAGCTTAAGAGGAAATTGCAGGACCCAATTCATTCACTGTTTGCTGCATTAGCTTTCCGTACAGGGGAAATAACAATGTCAGAAGTTAAAAGCTGGTGGTTTTAACCAGCTTTTACATAATGACATCCTAATACCCACCCCTCTCCCACCGACCCTAACCTTTCAGTAAAGTGTATACCCCTCAAAATTTGGGTTCCGCCTCTTTGTTGTGAGAAAAAAACAAAAAGACTATGATTCTAGAACGGCAATGGCTAGAAGACAGGTGTGGCATATCTGTAGGAGAGACCCCTTCATTAGAAAATACTTGCTTTTCTTGTTCGTTAAGTCCTGAGAGTAAAATAATTGCAGATGAGCTGTGAAAACAAGAGGCTGGACGCAGCAAGGAGGAAAACCTGTTTCCACGGGGACGACCCCGCGAGGGGGAACGCGTCTCGGGTGGCCTGTTCTCTCTGAGGCAGGGAGGAGTGGCAACGTGTTTAGGGACAAAGCTGGTTCTTTCCGTCCCCTGTTTGTTTTCGGTTTTATCAGTTCGAATCAGTCTTAAGCACAACGAAAATTCCTGGCTTTTGCTCCAGGGGGCGTCCAACCGGCGGCCCACGGGCCATGCGCTGCCCAGGAAGGCTGTGAATGCGGCTCAGCACAAAATCGTAAATTTACTCAAAACATGACGAGATTTTTGTGTGATGACATGTCGCCATGTATTTAACGTGTGGGCCAAGGCAACTCTTCTTGCAGTGTGGCCCAGAGACTATTGTTACTAATACTGTGTTGTATATTTGATATTACCTAATATAGTAGATCCTAAAAGTTCTCGTCACAAGGGAAAAAATCCATAACTACTCATGGTGACAGATGTTACGGAGACATTGCGTGGGCATTTTGTAAGATATACAAATATTGAATTATTATGTCGTACACCTGAAACTCATGTAACGTTGCACATCGACTCTACCTCAGTAAAAAATGAAGTTTCATATTTTGAAGGGGCAAAGAATTCAGCATTTGAATTTGTGAGGGATATGACTGAGCCCCTGAGAGCCTATTTCTTCATCTCAAAATAGGCTTCTAATACCAACTAAGTCCGTTCACATGACCGTATCGACCCTGTCTGTATGGAGACAAGTATTAGACATGAACTCCTCGAACGCAGCTGTCTTCCTCATCCTCTGACACCCACAGCACTTCGCTAAAGGTGTGCGCTTGCACTTCCGTGCCTTCTAGACGAGGCGCACCTGCAGGCAAGTCGCCGGGACTCCGGCTGACACCCTCTAGGGGGCTCGGGGCGCTCTTTAGTCAGCGGTGACGGATCCCGTCTAAATACTTTGTTGCTCTTTGCAAACAGTAATTTGCCGCAGAAGCCATGAATAAGTCAGAGGCGTGCCTAGAACGGGCTTAGCGAAGGGACCCCACAGTGTGACCCAGTGCCGCCGGCAGCCTCGTCTGACGCCCCTGTGTTCTCCCCCAGCTCGTCTTCTGCCGGGACTGCGGGGAAGCGGCGCACGAAGGCGAATGCAGCGCGCTGGCCGCCTCAGCAGCAGCGACTCAGGTAAGGGTCCCCGAAGCTCAGGGTATGGGTGGGGGAGAAGAGCTTTCTCCTGGAGGTCACGGAGGGTTCCACTCTGAAAAACAGGGACCTGAGCGGCCACCTGCAGCCACGGGGACGGGGCTGTGGCTTCTCCGGGGCACGACCCTCCAGGACCGCGCCCCACTCCGGGTAGAGCGGCAGGCTTCCCAAGCTGCGTGGGGCGCGGAGGTCCTTCCACCACCGATCGATCCCGTCACGGTTCCCCAGGAACGCGTGCAGTACGGGCGAACAACACAGTGCATCAGAAGGAGGCAAAGTAACAACCTCCAAATGGCAGAAATCGATACTAACCCTGTATGTATGGTTTTCAAAAGTGTCTTTGCTTAGAATCTTCAGTGAAAATTATCTACAGGCGTGAAATGATAGACATAGTCAGTGTTATATGGTGCGGGGGTATCATCGTGTAGCGATATCATGAACTATACTAGATTATATCTCAGTCTTGATTACGTAAAGAATATTGTATACTGAACCTCACTCTCCAGTGCGCTATATATCAGGCCCAGAGAAATGCAAATACATTTTCTTTTATTTATTAATTGTGATCAACCAAACCTTAGGGGGAAAGGAATAAAACCTTCAGCACAGTTGATGGATTTGCTCATTATTTTTCTCCTGATATAGATGTTAACAAGGGTTTAAACACCAACTCTAGCCAGGTAAATCCTTTAGTCACTTTATTGACAGGAACCTTGTAAATCAACATAGAAATTCCAGAACATTTTAATTCTACAGGAGGGAATTTTAAATATCTGAATGCTGTAAAGTCAGAGCTTAAAAATAAAAGTATATCCCTGTTAGGTAGTCTGAGGATGTATTTACTCAGTATTAGCATAATTAAGTCAACACAATTAGCTCCCCAAATGCTGGCCATGGGCATATGCGAACAGTGAGGCCTGCCTTCCCATTTCTACGGCAGCGGCAGCCGAAGCTCTTTCTGTTGGTTGCCGTTTAGCCCAGCAGCCCTCCAACGGGAGCCCCCAGGGTCCCGACGTCAGGAATAGTGACGACCTGGACCCACCCCCTGCTCGCCTCCGGGTCTCGGCCACCCAGAGGGCGAAGACTGCAGCGCTGAGGAACCCAGTCGGCCTTGCCACTTACAGCCATGTGCTCTTACGTCACAAACGTGGGCAAAGGCTTCCTAGAAGTGCTACCTGAGCCCCTGTTCATTTTAGAACGGCAGCTATAAGGTAGAGGAGAGCACTGCCTACCATAAAGCTGTCGAGGCGCCCTCCCACCCGATAATCTCCTCTATTCTCCATTCAAGAACAGCCAGCCAACCTTGGTATCAAAGATTGAGGGAGTCCCCCCAGAATTTTTTAGTCACTAAAGCCATAATGTTCAATTCTGGAAAAGGGGAGAAAGAGCTTCCCGGAAGCATAGATGACCATTCCCAAGGGCCTGTGTCTGCCCACACCTTCAACCACAGACTTGAAATGGAGAGTTCGTGTAGGCTGCTTCTCCGGCCGGGGGGTGCAAATGCAGATAAGTCTTTTTCTCTTCAGAGGCTCCTGGGAGAGCCAAGGGGGAGGCTCACTTGCAGGAGATAACAATGATAGCACTATGCTAACCAAACGCAGACGAGCCACAGCTTTGCACAGTGCTTTCCTGAAAGGCACGGGAGGTGGCCAGCGCGCGACCGCACAGTGAAGGAGGGACGGCAGGGGGCCTGTCGGCAGAGGGCGCTGCGCGGAGGCGGGTACAGAGGCGAGGCTCTGTCCTGTCCACCCCGACATCCCCCGCCCCCAAGGCCGCACCTGGTGCGTAGACATTTGGTAGATGTTGGCTGAGCCACGGCAGCGTGCGAAAAGTGAAGACATTCTTTCATTCACTCAAGAAACATGCACTAAACTTCTCTAATAGGTTAGGTGAGTTGAAGGCCGCGTCAACGGAGATCCATCAGCAGCCAGAACTCCCCGCAGCTGGGGGAAGCCACGCCTCGGTGCCAAAGGGCGCGGGGAGCGGGGCGGGGGCGGGGGGGGGGGCGCCGGCCACGTTCCGCAGAGGATCCGCTGCCAGAGTCCAGACCTGAGAGGCACCTCGGGCTGCCGGCAAGTGTAGGGGGGAAGGCCGTGGGTTTGGGGAGGAGCCACGGGCCTTGGCACTGATTAGAAGACAGGACGAGGGAAGCAACGCGCGCGGGTCCACGTTTGAATTTCTGACTTGGGTGGATGGCATGCGTTCCCTGGAAGAGGAAACACAGGAACCAGAGCTGCCTGCTCGGGGACAGGTGGCAAGTTCTGTGGACGGCTCGGCGGAGGCGTTCAGCGGACCAGGGAATGGAGGCGAAGGCCACCCGTTGCGGGGAAGCCCAGCCTGGAGCTGATGCCCGAGACAAGATACAGAACCTTGCCGCTGGCCCTTAGCCGGGCCCCCCGCGCCACCTCCTCCATCTGGAGGGGCGGCTGCGCGACGACGCGGCTGCCTGGCAGGGGAGCAGTACGCAGCGGCGCCCAGCGCCCAGACTGGCGGCCGCACCTGTGCGCGCGCCTGGTCGCGGCTGCCTCCCGGCCACGTCCTGCTGCTGCGCCCCAGCGCCGCCCAGATCTGGAAGCTGGGAAATGTATTGTTGCCGGAGGCCCCGGGGCCGGGTATTCGGGAGTGGGGTTCCTGAACCCCTGGGCGGTTTAAGTGAAACAGCTCCGTAGGTGCCCCTTCGCTCCAACCCTTGGCTGTGGGCACGCCGCCCAGCGGGCGTGCAGACGGGCTGCGTACCGACGGAGCGCCCGTCTACGCAGGTGCGTCTCCGCTTGTCGTTCTAGCGGAAGGGCCTGAGGGAGTGGCGACGGCCAGGTCAGGCCTCTGCGGGGCCCCTCCACAGCCCCGCGCCGCGGAAGGTCGCCTGGGGGTCAGCAGAAGAGACGGGCTGGTGCCCAAAAGCACTGGCGTGGCTGCCTCCTCACCACCCAGTGACCCAGATTCCGACAGCGTTTTCCGCGGCCGCCGCCAGGGGGCAGTGCGGTCTCCTGAGCTGTAAAGAATATAAAGAATGAATTCAGAGAGTATGGGAAGCACTTTCTAAGTTGTAAGTTCTACAAAAAGGTGACACGTTGGGGGCTGGCTATTTTTCAAGCTGAATACTAGGAATGTCAGGCATCGTAGGCAGAGAAAATGAAGGACAGCATCGAAAGATAAATTAAAGCGTGTGTGTGTGTGTGTGTGTGTGTGCGTGTGCGCGCGCGCGCACATGATCAATGCAGCAGTGTAGGCAGACCCGCGCCCCGCAGACCCGGCCTCTGGCTCCCCAGAACCCAGGATCCTCAGAGCTGCGCTTCTCTTCCGGGGCTGTCACTCGCCAAAGAGCCAGCACGGAGCCCCCAACCTCCCACCCCAGAGCACCTCCCCGGGGCTCGGCCTCCCTCCTACCAACTTCCCCCCAGCCCAGGGGTGCATCTCAGCCTGGTGGCCACCCTGGTGACACAGTCGGTCAGGTCCCCTGAGCTCTCCGTCCTCCGCCCTCCTCCGAGCACTTCCTGGAGTCGCCCACCGTCCTCTCGGCCCAGGGCAGGCCTCCCACCCCGCCCCCCACGGCTCCTGGATCAGAGGGGCGGGAGGAACCCTGGCCAACTTGCTAGAAAAGGCGAAATGTAAACTCCTCTCCTGGATGTGCAAGCCCGTGTCCTGTGCGCATAGCTCAGAAACAAGCTGTGGGGACAACGTGGCGATGTGGAGACTATTTCACCAGAAACTCACCACACCCGCCCATGCGCCCCCCATTGCACACACCGCACACACCGCGCACACACGGCGTACACTCACTGCACACCCCCTACCCCGCCCCACCCCCAGGCTGTCTCTCCGCGCCCAAGGGAGCCTGCCTGCCCGGGCTCGGAGCCGCAGCTCCAGCAGCCAGCGGGGAAGCAGCTGCTGCGCGCCTCGGCCTCACCAGGTGGCGCTCAGTCCTTCAGAGATATCACAGATTTTGCAAGAAATGACCTAGGGAAAAAAGGCATGCTCGCCACTTTTAGAGGACAACAGGAGAGCCCAAGGGCTCTTTTCTCAGAAGCGGCAGGTCTGCGCCGCGCTGAGCTGGGATCCTTTCCTGAATCACTGATGGACACGGGGCGGGGGGTGGGGGGGACAGCAGGGACACACACACTGACCTCCGTGGGGGCTGGGGACTGTCTGCCAGAACGGCCTGCCTGCTGCATCCAGGGGAGCAGTTGCCCAGCGCAGGCCTCAGGGTGAGCAGGGCCCGGCCCCTGCTGTCCCCCAGGTCACATCTCATCCCTCCTGTGGGAGCTCACGGTACTGTCGTCTCCGCCCCGCCTCCTCCCAGGAAGGACCCAAGGCAAGGCGGCGTGGTCCGGAAGTCAGTCTGGAAAGTGAGTCTGGCCATGACTAGCTGTGATGGTTACGTTCTGGTGTCCACCTGGCTAGGCTGTGTTGCTCAGTCGTTTTGGCAAACGCCAGTCCCGGAGAGGCTGCGGAGGAGCTGTGAAGAGGCGGTCAACATCCCCAATGAGTTGGTGTTAAGTAAAGCAGGGTACTCATAACGTGGGTGGACCTCGTCCAATCAGTTGAAGGCCTTCAGAACAAAGGCGGGTTTCCCAGGAAAGAAGGCATTCTGCCTCAAGACTGTAACTTAGGAACTTGGCCCGAGCTCCCTAAGTTGCAATCCCACAATCCTGTGAGCCAATTCCTTATATAAACACATATATTGGGTATATGTGAATCCTATTGGTTCTCTCTCTGGAGAACTCTGACAGGTACAGTAGCTGTAGTAACCACTAAGGGAAAGATGTAACCTCTCCAAACCATGCTTTCCTCATCTGTCATGTGGAAAGTGAAATGAAAAAGATGCAATGAAATAATGCATGTGTCACGCCTCACTCGGGGCCTGGCATTCACAGCGTGAGCAGAACGAGGCGGTAGTTTCCTCGTCCATCCGCACTGCGGTACGCACCCTCCCACAGGACGGCGTCAGGCTGGGGACCGGACACTCAAATGCACACCGTCCG